TACTGTAATTTGGAGTTATGGTTACGACGCGTTGGTTACTGCAATAAAAAATGGATAAGAGGGTAATGATTCAGGCGAGGATCAATCCTTTTTGGTGTGCGCCATGCAAGCTCTTGTTTCTTAGGAAATCCTAAACGGCACTGGAGTGCGATATTGCTCATGCAATGGCTTACAGGTGAAAGCCGATATATTAGTCGTGTTTCGCCTTCCCAAATAAGAGGCTGGTATCAACCGATGGGCCCCGAGAGATGGGCTTGCTTGGCCTAGGCGAGGTTCGAACCGAGATTTGCTCCACCGGCCGTAAACATGGGAGTGGCGTTACTTAACATTACTCACTTTCGTCCACTGCTGCAATTCAAGGCCTTTGTCGCATCATCCCCTGGTAAGTCTGCGAACAGGGTCAACCGTCACGTTGGACCGATTTCGAAAATTTTACGACCTCCTCCTCCCCCTTCTATAGGGCCTCGATACGACCCCCCTCAGGGTCAACCCTTCATCACCCTCGCCTGCCATCGCCATCATGGGGCTCATACGGCTATAGTAAGGGGGAGGTATATACCTACCACGAAACCGCAAATATTCTCTCTTTCCCTCTATTTCACCCATATTTCCATTGCTGCAACGTTTTCGGGGGGGAGGGTGGGGGGGGGGGGAATACGACTCCCACCTTTTCCACCCCAAATACTACCCCCCACCCCTCGTTGGACTTTGTCCAATGGACGGCTGACCCTGTCTGTGGATAGAGCCTTGCACTGGAACCGAGGATGGTGACAGTAATAGAAGTGGCCTACGAAATTCGATAATCATCATTTCATTTCTAGAGTGCGCCACGCATTCCACTTTCACTCAGAATTATAGTGGCCATTAAATGCAATTCGGTCCAGACAATGATTTGTTTGAGGGGAGCAGGCCGTATACAAGTTAGTGTTTCCATTTTCCTGAAGGAGGATTGTTTTCGACCTTGGTGGGGGAAAAAGTCTTGGTTGGCCTGGGCGATACCATTATGGGTGCTATAGAGCGTCTTTGGCTACTGCACCATTCACTCCTTCTAGGTAAATGGAGCTCAAAAATTTGGATTAGCATATGGGTACAGAAGATTTGAAAGAGTTCCATACTGTACTGAAAAGAATGAAGACTGAAGAACTTAAAGGCACAGACCGCGGTTGAATAGATTCCTCGACCAAGAATACATTTGTAATAATTGGCTAACCAGTAATGAAATAAAGCAAAAAATACTGTCCAAGTCACGCTGTACGTGATCTTGTGAGAAGTTGGGGGGGGGGGAGGTCGCGATACGCTGCTACATGAGTCTCAACAGTGGTTGGCTGTTCCTCTGAAATGATAATATACGTTCCAAAAATGGGGTTAACCAATGATCGCCATAGGGGCGAAGCGGAAATCCCGTCCATGCGAGTAACGCGCAATATGATTTTGAATATTTTTGACTTTTTTGTTTTCTTTCACCATTGGTGGGTCGTTTACTACTACCATCTTTATTTTCTTATGCAATAAGCTACAGCTACGTAAACAGAAAATATGCCCTCAAGAGATTGAGTCAATTAAAAGCAAGAAGAGTAGGGGGTTGCTCTTGGCGTGATTTTTACTCGGCAAATACGTCAAGACGAATCAAACGAATCAAAAGGAGTTGAAGTAGTTGGTGGGTAAAGTGGGCAAGAAACGATGGAGAAATGATGCGGCCGTGTCGCATTACAGAATAAAACCTCTGATAAGGTGAGCGATAACGAGGTAATGCATGAAATGTGGGCCAGATTGCAAAGGTCGTGGAATGGGTAGAAAGTACCACGAGATACTCTTCAAGGTAACATTCGCAGGCGCGAACTGTTCCATCTTCCGCTCAGTATTTCGGGTCAATATCTGTTTTTTTTTATGAGATGACGAAAACCATGATCGATCCGTCACATGTCAAAGGAAATAATGAGCCGCTAGCGTGTTCCATCGCGATCTGTTTTTGTGAGTTTTTAACCACCCCCCCCCCCCGAATTCCGATCGCTCCTCCGAACAACAAACCTAAAGGCAGTGATCACAATGACTGGAGGGCTGTACGGACGACGTCACACATCGATGGACGAGATCCTCGCGCGTGTTGAGACCGCCTCGTGACGCTTTTCGACCAACAATGTCAACAAACCGTACCACCCTTTAGCACACCCTTTAGCCGCCGTCCCTGCCTTTAATTAACGAAATGTCTAGTAAGTAGCAAAATGGTTTCAAGAACACTAAGCAGCAGTGTTACTGCTCCCAGCAGATAAAATACCATGCATTACTTAGATTGAGAACCTTCTCTGCTACGTCGTAGCGACTTCCCCCGATGTTGCACCGCGCCCTGCTTCGATGAGTTTTGGGCCACGCCCCTAAATTTGACATACCTCTTTAGTGCGAGCAACTAACCTCTTCAACGAAATCTTGGAGGTTCTCGATTTATTTTAATCGGGTCAATTTCACAGCAACAGGCAATGCACGAACAGCAGAGAGGTAAGGAAAAAATGTGGGGCCAGCGATTCGTCGCGCGCGTAACAATCAAATCGTTTTATGAATACACTCGCCCATTGAAGGTCTAAGTAAATCGTACTGAGATGCTGGGAGACGTAACTCTGTAAAATGGAGTGTTTTGTTTTAAGATTGAAGTTATACGAATGGCAATATTGCACTATTACAATCCCAGTGAGGGTGAGATGGGTCAAAAAATTTTCTTCGCTGAAACTTCTCCTATGGGGTTATCGGGGCTCCTGATCACGAATATGACGTTCATTTTTGGCGCTGGCGCCAAATTGGCGCCAAGGGTGTTTTCACCAAATTCGCTGTAAACTTGTGCATAGGGGTTATTTTAGGGTCCTGATTACGAAATAACATTCGTTTATGGCATTCGCGCTGTTTAACTTTGATTTTCTGCATTCCTGGCTCTCTCACTTATAGTGCCTAACCATAAGGCTAAGCTTAGTTAGTGGAGAGAAGTGAGACCCTGGGAGGCTAAACCATGCACGGTGTGGGGAAGAAGTTGAAGTGAATGGGAATCACAAGGTGAGTGGCTTTCATTTTGGAGCCCTCCCTTCTTCCAAGGCCTAGTCCTGATCGCAAACTAATTAGTGAGAGGGCGCAGACGTGCAGGAAATAGGCGCCGAATTCGCCAACGTAAAAACAAGTGTCATATTCGTGATTAGGGTCTCAAATAACCCTCTATATACAACTTTAGAGTGAATTTGATGAGAATCGTCCGGCGCCACGATAGCGCAAAACGGCGCGCAACCTGGGCACCAGCCGACCGCAAAATCGATGTTCATATCTCGAATGATGAGAACCTCACTAAACCTCCACATAGCATAAGTTTGAGGTCAAAAAAGAATTCTAACCATCTCTCCATACTGGGTTGTATATAGTGGCAACAAGTGCTTACGAATCTGAACTTTTATCTCAGGGGCACTGTTACTGCCGTGCTTAGGCTGGTGCCATGGTCCGCGATCCGTTGCGTGATTCGTGCGAATAGCGCGGCGTGTTGCGGGCTTTGACGCCAGCCTTAGGCCGATGTCAGACTTTGCGAATCGCGCGCTGGCCAGGTGAATCACTCAATTGGTAGTAGCGCAACGGATACCGTAAAGACTGCGACGCTGAGCAATCCGCGCGAATAGCTAGTAGCGCATCGTGGCGATTCGCAAAGTCTGAAATCGCCTTACGTGTTGCATGCGACAGGTCAGGACGTTTTGCTGAGCTTGGCAGCTTTGAATTTACTTATTTTTCGTGCAATAATTGTCTAGCATCTTCTTGTTCTTGAATATGCAGGTTTGCCAAAACCGCGCTTAGTTGGAAAAACAAGTAAATCTTGGGCCGCGAGAAAGTCATTATTGTCCCGGGTTTTCGAACTTTTCTCGTTCAGATATGGTTAGTTGCCTCTTGAAAACTATCGCATCGGCTTAGCATTGTTCCCTTGTCGACGTAACTGGGCAATTAAGAGAAGCAGGCCGATCAGGCCGATGAGCGAGAAGGAAAAAGATGCGGAACGATCGATTACTTCGAATACTCGGATAGCGGTGGCCTATTTTATCTACTTGCGGAATACTTGCGTGAGAAACGCGCCCCAATGACATTTCACGACCCATTCCGACTTCAATCTTTTAATCGACATTTTGGAATTTAATTGTCATGTTTACCTTCATTTTCTAGTTTTCGTAGTTTTCTCAAGTGTTTGTCACTTTTCAGAATGGGTGAAAGACGTGGTTCGAGTTCGTCATAGCCGCGCTCCGGTCGTTCTCCACACTTGGCCCACCGCTTCCGGAACGGCCATTCGTGCGAATCTGCGTTCTAAGTGTGAATAACTGGGCATATATCCATAGATTCTTTAGTTATGTTTGAGTTTATTATGAGTTAGATTATATAATGCTGAATGATTGAAAGTCTTTGGTCATGCGTTAGACGAGCCAATAAGCGTTTAACATTAGCTATAACTGGGTCATTCCTCTTGTAAATCTTGAAAATTCGTAAAGGCATGGTTCACTTGCTACCTTTGCCTATTTACTTTGAGACGACTGCGGCTTATTTTCTTCATTTTCCGGGGAATAGTGAAAACGCTTTAGTTATGGCGTGAAATCGTGCTCTAATATTTCATATTCAGGTACCCTGATCTCCGTAATGTTGCCGTAGCAATCCCATCTTTTGCTAAATTATGCGAAGACGAATGTCGTAAAGTCGATCGGGAAGTCCAGTCACGGCGCGATTTCAAATGGTACATTTTATTTGACCTTTTATTGTTGCCCGCGGGTTTTGGGGTCGGGGGAAAAAAACGCGTCCTCCCCCCCCGCCCCCACGACCCTTCAAAAATTGGTTTGTGTTTGAAAAGTTTTCAAAGACATTTACTCGTGAAAGCACGAAGTTTTGCGGGAGTCTGAAAAGACGGGAGGATTGAAAAGAAGAAGGTTTTCGATCAAATAGATGATCCCCTAGGAGTACTGTTCAGGACGCGATTCGCTAGTAGCAATGATGAGGACAGCATGGCTCCACGAGGCCTTCACAGTATGGCCTACCACGAGAAAGAGTGCGCCATGTATGCGTTTGGCGGTGAAGCACCTGACTGGCGAATGCAAGGCGATTCATGTGGTCCGGCCTCATTCAACGACCTCTGGAGGCTTGACATGGTAAGCTGATCCTTCCATCTGCTTAGAAGGTCCTTTTGAATCAAAAATCCAGCTCTTTGCGCAGTGTTGCCGAATGTTTCTTACTGTTGTACTAACAGAGTGCAAAAAGCCCCGGTTTGGCGGCGAAATAAAGCCTACGGACGGCTAAGGGAAACATTGTGTGTGGAGAAGTCACCACTCGTTTTGTCACATTTGGTCGCGTGCGTGCGCGGCATTTGATGTGAGACGTTTATCGGCTCGGGATGCTGCAGAAATGAAGGCAAGGTATTCGCCTCGTGAGGTCGAATCATAGTTTTGCAGTTCGATTGTAGGATAGATACGTATCGACCATGTTCACATGTAAGGGGAAGCACTGGCCGGGAAAATACCTCATAGCAGCTTTTAAGTATAAAAAATGAAATACAACAGCGATTTGGCCGAGGTTTCAAGATAGGAGAGCTCTTATTTCCGCAATTTTAATTACTTTTCCTTCAGACATCTCTGAAGTGGTCGCGTGTCGTGGTGAAATCATCTCCGTACCCTTTGCCAAAATATTTGTGTTCCATGGTTGTATATAAGGTAAAAGACATTTCTTATGCATTGTTGATGTTTTTTTCACATTTTGAAACCGTCTGCTTTTTAGGATGAGCTGTTAATATATGGAGGATGTAGGCCATTACCGCGTCATGGTAGCGCTATACATCTCAATGAACTTCATTTGTTCAACACTAAGAAGAGAGCATACAGAATTGTAAGTGAAGTCACTTTCTGAGAATGTTTGCATTGCTATTTCATGAATGGAAAGCTCTTTTGTTGGTTTTGCTTTTACTTTTATCTCAGTCGGACTCTTCAAGACCAGGTCGAAGAATGTCACTTTGAATAGTGGGCTAGCTATTTGTGGATTAGATTTTCATTAGATTAGCTGTGGATGCCACGAAGACATGTAACAGAGTGTGGGTAAGAGTGAGCATAGTAAAGGACAGTCCATTGCAAGAGTGTCAATTTTCTGATTCCCTTTGTTTTTTTTTGAGAGTTTGCAAATCAAAGTTCACTTAAATCCCGATCGGTACTCTGTGCTTCATTTTATTTCGCTGTAAATTTGCCATTTTTAGACACTTTCGTGGTTTTTGGCTTAAGGGTACGGTACGCGATTTATTCACGCTTGTAAAGGGGAATAAGGGGTCAGAACTTGGCTTACTGCACGCCACCCATTGTGGTACTGTGCTGCTTTGTCTCCATTCTCCCAAGTTCTTTCATAATGGAGATGCGGACCTTGTCTAGGGTTGTAGTAGCTTTTTGCTTATCTTACCTCAAGCCAATTTAGTGCCTCCTGTTTCATAGGTGTCCATCATTGCTTCATTGAATTAACAGTATTACATATGGTGTGATTGATAGCCTTCGTACTCTATTACATGAACTGATTCTAGTTAGCGACGACAAACGATGGTCCAAATCTAGCAGGACATGCATCGTGCATGCATGGCGATCTGTTTATTGTTCATGGAGGAGTGGTCTCAACTTGCGAGGTCAGCTATCGAGTGTCAGTGCTCGATATGCGAACGAAACGTTGGTTTCATGCGCCTTTGCCAGGATTTCCAACGTGAGTGTTGTTTCGGTTAGCTTAATTTCCTCCTCCTTGGTTTCTTTTCTGGTTCCATGGGGCAACTGTGATGTAACTCGCTTGCAGTTGATAGTTCGATGTCATTGGCCGATGTCAGACTTTGCGATTGGAGCGATTTTGCACCAATTGCAGGAGCGACGGATCGCTCAAGCGATGCGAGCGACGGGAGATTTACCCGAGCGGCGCCGTGTGTATCGGTATTCGGCGGGGTAAATCTCCCGTCGCTCGCATCGCTCAAGCGATCCGTCGCTCCTGCAATTGGTGCAAAATCGCTCCAATCGCAAAGTCTGACATCGGCCAATGGGCGGGTGTGAGGTTTTGGATATCGCTTACGAATCAGCTCGCGCTCTCGCTTCACACACCACTCGCGTGGTTAGTGTTCGATGTCGGACGAGCGTGCAGATTCGGAATCTATACTCCGCACATGCTCTTCATAGGTAAGCGGTCTTCACTGCTGTTTTTAATAACTGGCACTACCTGCTTCTCGGGACTCTTCGAGCATTGCGCATCTTGAGAACCACTTTATTGATAGCGAATGTGCTTATTCCCAGGACACCATCCCCCCTGCACAGATTGTGAGCGCCTTTGTTTCGCAATTTACTTATTCTTTTTTGCAGAGTCCTCCATTATCTGGCGACGTCTCCAATACCCAGGTATTCTATTTTCGTCTCTTTTTGAAAGCTTGTCGTTATATCCAGAATTGAAGAAATTTTTTAGCTTATGGTGGGATCCTCATCGCTTATTGTTCTGCGTGAAGGTTGTCTTTTAGCAACGGGTGAGAATATGCGGGATGACATGTGAGTCAGTGTCCATACTTTGTTTTTTTATTTTATAATTCTTGAAACTCTGAGGGACTTGTTTGAATTAAACCTGTATATACTTCGTTTGATATATGCTCCGAATTGTTAATATTGAGTGGAGCGGAAGTGGTGTAGTGGCAAGTGGCACGCTTACCACGCGAGCGGTCCGGGGATCAAATCCTGGGTCGTGAGTCGCCCGGGCCAACCAAGCCTTCCATCCCTCCGGGGTCGGTTAATTGGTACCAGACTTGTCTGGGAGGATAAAAACACTGACTTGTACATCGGCTGGCCCCCGCAAGTCATTGTATAGGCCACATCGCATTCAAACGCCACTACGAATGTACAAATGGAAGTAGAATGCGTGCCGCATCCCAAAAAGGGATTGATCAACGGCAAATGCTTTATCCTTTATCCTTTTATATTGAGTGCATTTTTTTGAATAGGTATATATAGATTCGCTTCGTTTTCTCAAAAACGGGCAAGAATAGGATGCGATTGAACGGTCCGTGATTTACGGCCTCGTCGCGCTTAGTTTTTCATGGACAGTCGGCGTCTCCTTTGCACTCATTTAACGAAAAATCCATCGAAGTTGCAGAGGTTCTTTACCTACCTCCCTCTCCTTTTTCGATCGAAGCTATTATTTGAACACACATTTGGGTCCTTGTCGGTGCATCATGACACACCGAAAGCGGAGCCATGCTCTGAGAAGAGTTTTAGTTGTCATTTTTATGGTTGCAGAGTTCATGCTTTGCTCTTCGATTATTAATTTTCTCTGACGTTGTTTCTTTATGTGATTGTTTTTAGGCCTGAAAATACCTCGATTCTGTTTATATTTGATCCGAAGGATCCAGAAGGAGTTATGTGGCAATACAAATTGATTCCGGTGAGGATAATCGCAATTCTGCTGTGTGACTATTGAAAAAAAGTAGTGTGCAGAATTTTGTAGCAGGCTAAGTTTTGCCTCCTTTCAGGGTATTGGACGTTGGTGGCCGACAGTTGGTTTATCGCCGCCACCGTCAAATAAGAACTTTGGTGGCATTGCAGTTATGCGTCTTGATCGTGTAATTCGTTTGATATCTTTAGGAATGCCACAGAAAGGCAGCAAGGTCAGTGAAAAAAATATTACGTTTTACGTTTGCGTTTTACCCTTTGGAGAAAGTCTTTCACTACTGTGTTTCCTTTCTTTGTTCTCTTTTGTTCGAATATGATTCCTTTTCCCATGCGCACGGCTGTGCTGCTAAGACCGAGCTTGCAAGAAGTAATCCATCGCAGGACATCATCAAGACTGTTTTGTGAATGGGTGGATTTTCAAGGCAAGGATTTGCGGTTGGGCACTAGGAATGGCCATGTGGCCAGACTTTGCGATTGGAGCGATTGTGCACAAATTGCAGGAGCGACGACGGATCGCTTGAGCGATCCATCGCTGCGAGCGACGGGAGATTTACACGGCCGACCAACGATAATTCGGCGTCATCAGCTCGTAAATGTCCCGTCGCTCGCACTGCGAGCGACGCGAGATTTACACCGCCAACCACCGATAATTCGGCGCCACCAGCTCGTAAATCTCCTGTCGCTCGGGCCGTGATAAGCCTCCTTGGCCGTTGTGGCAGGGAGCTGCGAGCGACGGGAGATTTACGAGCTGATGGCGCCGAATTATCGGTTGGTCGGCCGTGTAAATCTCCCGTCGCTCCTGCAATTGGTGCAATCGCGCTACAATCGCAAGTCTGACATCGGCATCGAAATTATTGTGGCAGATGGGGAGTCAGAAGTAAAGGTCATTCCGGGAAGTAACCAGAATCTTTGATAAGTATAGCGCGCGTAATGGATGAGTAAAGACCCTTTCCCATGCCTGTTTGGCCAAGCTTTTCACGAAGAATTTAACCATTCATCAGGGGGCAGGATTATTGAAGCTATATTTCTCACCGCATGCTTCTCTCTCCCTCACTCGCCTGCTAGCTAAACTCCAATATTTGGCCTTGGGCATACAACTATACTCACTACTTTTTAACGTGGTTTTTTCTTCCTTAAAATGAGGGAACCGAATTCGGTTCAGCTGACGGCGGTCGTAGAAAGAGTAATGGTTCACATAAAAGGGGAATGGATGGGGGAGAGGGAAGGAACATTGACGTATTTAGTGATTTCAACAGCCACAGATAGGTTCTTCTCTCCGAAATAATAGTTGGTCGATTTGTTGTTCAGGTTTCGGGACTGTGTAGAAGGAAGAGGAGATCAAATGTTGTGTGCATTAAGTGCTAGGATACAGTTTCGTGATCTCACTTGCCCACGTAGAGGGTAAGTTTGTTTGAGGCTGTTGAGTCGTGCGGTTTAGAAACTGCGCCATGAATGGGTATTAGTGCCTAGCAATAGATCTGGGTGCAGTTGACTGGCTTAAAAGGAACGGTTGGACTGTTTTGACACAACCAGAGTCCGGCTTGCGTCTGCGCCCTTGCGGATACCGGCTATGGAATTTCCAGTCTTGCTGATATCCTCCTCATTAGCCAAGATATTGTACTCCGTACTCAGTATTCATACTTTGCAACCCCGACACCTTCAGTCTACACAGAATAAAATTCGCTATCAGTATCGGTGGGAAAAACGAGGATCCAGTGAGATCCTAATTCACTCCCTGATCCCTACATACCCTGTTGTCATTTTCCCATTTATCTCAAAAAGGTCTCACCGATCTCGATACTTTCAGTAGTAGTTACGAGCGAATTTGTTCTGTTTAGCTTTCCCTGGACTCTGGTTCCCCCTTTTAATAGCTCCAATCACTAATTTTTTCACCTCTCCATACACGCATGTTTATTTTTCGGAAGTTCCATTCAAGACATGGAAAATTTTTATGCGTAGAAAGACGTTTGGAATGCTACTAAATTGCATGTAAATGCTCATGTAGGAAATCTCATGGTTGACCCTGACGTTAAGAGAACCTGTTTTCTCCTCAATGAACTAGATTCCTCAGTGTTTGTTCATGTTGGTCTTTTCGTGAAGAGTCCTCGCCATATAGTTTATAGACCAACTCGGCCACATATGGTATAACTTACTCCGTAGTCATGTGAAATGTGATAGTTTTGAAATATCCTAGTTAAAGGTGACTCATAATTGTGATTGACTCAGTAATACACAATTAGTCATCTGATCATCGACTACTTATACAGTTGTTCCTACAATCCAATGTTATTGTAAGTTGTTGCATTTTTTTTTACTTATTGAGATAAATAACTCTTGTAGGACTCGAGGTGTAACATCACGTACGATGGTGTGCAGAAACGCAGCACAGGCTTTATCAAGTGAGCAAAGTTTCGACTTTTGTTTTTTTTCATTATTATTTTCATTTTCTACAGCGACCTTTATTTTGACCTCTGCGCTTGTGCGATTCTTTGATTTACTCTGGTTTTTAGAGCTTTTTCTAACGGCTTATACTGTTGAACTGTTTTATTGTTAATACAAATACATAGATTAGCACATTACAATTCTCCCACGCCACCACCTATTTGGATTTTTTGTGTTATTAAACATTTTGGAACTAAGAATGACGTAAATACGTTTTGATGGGATTTTTGATTAACTGACGAAAGCAAATGAAAAGATTCCGGAACTCCATGAAGCGCGAAGGTCGGCACATAATCGTTTCACTCTCTTCACCCGAATTTGTTCTGGTAGTCTCGAGAAATTCGTGGATTCCTTATCTGTGCGCCTGAAACTTCATTGCCGACTGGCGAAGGCACTTATCTTGGATCCTAATGTGGCCAACTCCGTCACAAATTTGATCCTCTCTTTTTATTACTTTTCAAGCGTTATTTTTTGAACATTTCCCTTTCTTCTGTATTTTTTGACTGCTTGTCTATGTTTCGGATGATGTCCAGATTTAGTCCTTAGGGCGCACGCATAGTCGGTCGTCCGACAGCAACGATCGCAACTGTCTGACTGTCTAACTGCATCTAATCGTCGAATACTCAGGCAAGTCCGACGATCGATACGCATCCAATGCTGTGCGACAGTTACGATCGTTGCTGTCGTCCGACCGACTATGCGTGCGCCTCTTGCCTTCCTTTGATGTTTCTCATCGTCTAAGCTTCTTTTAAAACGCATCTAGTCGCTCTAGAAAGGCGAGATCAAGTTGACGATACATTATGATAACTCTTAGAGATGAGGATGGAATATTATGTGACAAACCGAGATGGCTCGACGTGAACAGGTGCGTCGCTACTGTCGTGAAAAGGATCCGGGTGAAGAGGAAAGAAGCGCAAAGGTTCGCTGTTGATTCAGTTTTGCTTAGAAATATTAATAGCGTTCTTTAAATTCTTCTCTATATTGAAATGGGAAAACTTATCAATTTTTCAACCTTTATGGCATCGGTGTTTTTTTCAGCTGTCGGAAGTTATTCATCATGACGGTATTTCATGTGAACTTGGCCACTGTTATCTGTCGATAATGGAGGCAGCTAATTGTAAAGGGTGAGTGTAGTTTCGTGTGGGAATGTGATTTAGCAAAGTTAGGATGCTTGGCTTACCAGTTTTTATTTTTATACAATTAGCTTTGTTGGGGGACCGTAGCGCACCGGTAGGAATTTTTCCTCCGTCAAATAAGGGTTGCTAGAAATCATTCTGTTCCTAAATGTGATCGGAAGGGCGTGTACTTCAACATTTGTGAACGAGGGAAAGCAAGAAAGTTTCAATGAGTCAGCGAGAGGAATGCGCTGTAGCTCTCCACCTCCCCCACATCAACGTTGTCTCTCTTTTGGAGTTGTTTACTTGCCCGCGAAAGCGAAGGAACCCTTCGACTTAGAAAGTATTCGACATTGGGTCACTCTATAATTAAGTCTCATTATCGTATGTCAGGAAAGGAAACAATAATTAACTGAGCGAGTTTTTGTATTCTAATTTTCTTTTGATTTTTTTTAAGTTGTGTTTTAATTGAAGTGCCAGATTCGCTTCGAAACCACGAACGATGGACTTGGTAACGATCTCGGTGGCGGTCGATCCACAGGCAGAATCTCAGAGAACGACACCGTTCGATGAAGTCGACGTCGCAGAATTGAAACTTCGTCTGAGAACGATGATCGCCCAGCTCCGTGAGTTCTTCCAATATAGGGCTCTCTTGCTTATTTTTTTTTTTTTTTCTATTTTTGAATTATATGAAAGCAAAGCGGTTCCTTGTCCTTTCACATCGAAAAAGCTGTTTTGCACGTTCCTCGTAGGCTAATGGTTCGTTGCAATGATTTCCTCCCTTGTTTTCGTTCTCCTGCATGCATTCGGAATACGATTTGAATAACATTATCTTTGACAGTTAGCAGGCCATAACGTCTAGAATCCCTTCTTTGCCATTGAAGCTATTGTACTTCATCTTGGTGCCTCTGTCCTCCTTTCTTTATGTTGCAGTATATTAACCTAATGTGGGTTAAGCACAGGGCATAAGTTTTCCTACCTAGCCTTGCACATTTTGTTTGGAACGAGTCACACAGCTGTATAAATGTTAGGGGGGGGGGGACAAAAGGTGGTGATGTCCGTTCCTCCAAGTGGTGCCACTGGGAACTGCTCACTTTTGTGAGCTGAGCTGACCACGGACATTCGAATGCAGGCGACAGGCCCCCGTGACAGGCCGGCCTACGAACACCCACGTCACATCACAAATGTCATGTCGCTATATGAATCCCGAATAAGAAAGGAGGGGGACAAAAGAAAGAAGCCCTTTCTCTTGGCGGTATTATACGAAGATGGAAATAAGACGGGAGTTCCACCGACGTTCAGTTCTACGGTCAAGGGTGAAGCGGCAGTATCCTGTATGCGGTTTTCGCATAGAATACGGGTTATAATAGTAGGATAAAGGGTTAAAGGAATCTTGCGCGGAAAATTCTTGCACTCTTTCCTAACATGAATATGTCAGTTGTGATCACTGGAAATAGCACACAAAGTTTCACGCATGAAGATTCGGTTTCTGAAGAGAAACAAACGTACAAAAACTACACGTTATGGACCATCGAAGGACCAGGAGGCAGAGCCAGGCGGCATGGAAAGAAGACGGCGTTTGGCCGGCTACGTACCAGGCGACGCAATGAGAGAATCGGGTTAAAGCGCGCGATTTCGGAGAGTGGAGACAAATCGATCGATGGAAATAGGATGGAGTAGAAGTGTAAGATGTGCAACGAAGCAGAAGGCCAGAAAGAGCTTCTAGTGAATGCACTCCAAGAACCAAGTTTGAGCATCCCCGTCGCCAGCATTCGTGAAAGACGTCCGTGGGCAATTCGAACGCGTAGCAGCCTTTTCGAGTTTTCGAATTTCTAATCAAAACGAAAGCAATACTTCAGTTCTTTTCACTATTATCGTGGATAATGAGTCTCAAGCCAGTGATTTATGGCTGAAATAGAATCATGATTTTTCCGCGCAAGATTCCTTTAAGCTTTTGCCGTTGATCAATCCCTTTTTGGGATGCGGCACGCATTCTACTTCCATTTGTACATTCGTAGTGGCGTTTGAATGCGATGTGGCCTATACAATGACTTGCGGGGGCCAGCCGATGTTCAAGTCAGTGTTTTTATCCTCCCAGACAAGTCTGGTACCAATTAACCGACCCCGGAGGGATGGAAGGCTTGGTTGGCCCGGGCGACTCACGACCCAGGATTTGATCCCCGGACCGCTCGCGTGGTGAGCGCGCCACTTGTCACTACACCACTTCCGCCCTAGAATAGCAGGGCGTCTACGAATTTACGTAGAAGGTGGTTTTCTAGTGACAGCGAGCATTCGCGGTAAAGATAGGCTCTTGATCCTTCAAATCGGGGCCTGCCTTGTTTGGCTCTATTGCCGGCACATGTTGCGTGTTTTTGGCACTAGGTTTCCATCGAAAATTTGTTGATAACCCTAGCGACCTGAAGCATTACCAGAGCTATTTCAGATATGAAGTATTACTCGACTCGGCCTGATGTTCTCCTGAGTCCGAATTTACCATCACGTAATAGCAGTTTTCGAAGAATGGTCGCGTTCACCGCAGAAATCCCGGTTGGAGAAGATTTTGATCCTGTGCGAGATCTGCAAAGAATAGAGTAAGCAGTTTCCAATTCCTCAAATCTCTTTTAAACGGTTCTTCTGCATTCGATCATTTCTTTGCTTTTTTTTCACGAAGACCGAAATGTGGCGCCGTTTTCTAGGTGGATTCCGCAAGCTGTTCAATATGGCGGACCACCTGAGACGCGAAAGTACTGTGTAGTGGCAGCACATGGCGAAGTAGTCGTACACGGTGGTAGCGTGCATTTTGGTGACGGTATGGGTATGATGGGCTATACTTATCTGATGACACCAGTGGCTACACAACCAACACCTGCCACCCCCACCATCAACGGCAACTGCCACAACCGCCTCGATTTCAGTGTGCTAGTCATCCATTGACGACTTTGTCGTCGTCATGTAGTTTTAGTAATCGTGAAAGCTTACGAGTTTTGCTATTTTGACAAGAAATATCTCATGTAGGAGTCCACTTTCAACAGAAATCAAAATTTCCAAGCGCCGCGACGCGACCGCACGCGTCTGCACTTGCGAAACACTGGCTGGCGGCCTCAGTGATTATTATCACTACATTTTTTCGTTTTTTGTTGCGTTCGCGTTAGTTTTTTTGTTTGTTGTTTGTGCTTTTTGTTGTCAGCCTAATTGTAGGTTCTTTTAAGTCGCCTACGAATGCCGTGCAAGTCAAATTACGTATAACCTCAATTCGCTTTATATTCAGGGACATCTACAGGCGAATAATTCCTGCGAAATACTCTACAAGAGAACTGCGTCAAGCTGTTTAAGCTGCCTTTGCATTAAATTACTTTTACAATTTGTCACCAAATTGGTGCACATGGCGCATCTAAACCAAAATTTTTGTTCAAGTCGGCATGCTTTAAATGTAAGAAACATTCATGGTGTACTGGCCTCATTGCGCTGCCAATCGCTCAGTCAATAGTATCTCTACATTACGCTAGCGTCAACCCCCTAAGCTACCAAATTCGCTGCAAAGTTGCCCGTGGTTAGTTATAGTGAGCACAAGTATCACATTCTTCAGAGCGCGTGATGCATACCCTACAAGGCGTAACCGACAACCCTTCTTTCAAATACCACCGCCTTTTTTTTTTTGAGGCGTGACAGTTTATTTTTTTTTTTGAGGTTTTAGGACAACTCGCAAACTTAAAGGCAGTGAGCGCGATGACTGAAGGGCGGAGCGATTTTGTGGCGTCATTAAGCGTGATTGGTGGAAGGTCCCCAATGATAAAAGTAATCGTTCTTATGTAGTGCACTACCCTCCGCTACTAGTTTTTAGCGATTTGGTGATCATGCTGGATCGCATTGGCGCCTTTTTCGTAGACGCCAGTAGCTTCCGCTCCAAACGAATGTGGTTTTCGTGCTTGTGATGTCGGACCACCACGGGCAACAAGTTTTGCAATCCGAAGACCAAAGGGCCAGTAGTGTCGAGAAAATGCTGAGTTCTTCCTTTTTCCCTCGTGTTGGAACGTTTGTGAGCCATAGCTGACATACCATACATGAGTGTCAAAATTGCAGTGACCGCAATAGTCCTCTAAAGAAGCATCTAGTCCTTAATATTACCTTTGACAAAAAGCAAAGTTGTAGAAATAGTGCTTAGTGATCATAATTGCATTGTACTTCGGGTTATCGTTTTTGTTGAATCGTATGACGATAAAGTTTTTTTGCATCATGCTTTTCTAATAATCGTGTCGGTTCTGATATCCTTGAATGTCTTCTTCAGAACGGTTAGAGGATAGTTTTCGTTTACAAATGTTATTTAAGGAGTTAAGGTACGGGAGGTCTACATTGACTTCCACAGCTGGATAAATGGTTAGTGTTTTATTCTAACTTTTTTCTTTTTTTTGTTTTCTAATCTAGTTTTTTCTTCCTGGTCATATCTTTATCCACTTTTATTCGCTTGTTAATTTTCTGTTATAAGCGGATCACCCTTTTTATGAAACGGTTGTTCGGGTTGGCCAGTTGAATATTGTGAATTCGCAGAGTGGAAATTTGGTGATCCTGGTGAAATTCGGATGATCTCAAAAAGACTTCGGCGTTTAGATTCTCAAAAAGTACCTCGCTAAATGTGCTTATTCGTGAGTTTTCTGCTTTTTTCCTCAACATTGGAATCAAATGTGCCGCTGAGGCCGCGACCACAGTGTGGGATCTTGTGATTTTGCAATCTTGCAATTTTAGTGTAGTTTACAAGTATCAAACGTTTCGTACGCATTCTCACGTTTGTTAACATCGCGTTGATCAATATTTATTATTTAACTCGAAGCTGCACAACAACTGCAAGGCGCGTCGCAAGACCTCGCTGCGCGACTGCTGCTGAAGCAGTCATATTTACAACATACTCACTGAAGGATTTCATTATTTCAGTGAAAGTCAACCGTGAGTCACAGCAAATGATATTGGAGGAAACGATGGAGGTATTGTATTGTATACACATACATATAGCCTAAATCTAAGAAAAAGTGAGTGAGGGTAACACGGAAGGGGGAAGATCGGCTTTCGGATCAAATTGTGTTGGATGTGCGCAAAGTCGTCCACTTTGAAGGAGTTGTGGGTGAACAGAGTTGAAAGCGGGGTGTGATCCATTGGAGACAATGTTGTATGAACCTTGCCACCAGTTGCCCATTAAATGTGACTTTACCGGCATAAACCTCGGATTCGAGATGGAGCATGGTTATTGGCAAGAGTTTCGAGGATGAAATTCTGGCTCGAAGCCCACCAGGCCATCTAATACTGCTATACCTCCTTGTTAGCGATTGATAATCAGATTGGCTGAAGAGAACAAAACTTCAAATGTCAACCCTCTTTCAAGCTAGAGAGCAAAAAACCTATGACGTGCAACCCTCTGCGGCATATCTCCGCAAGTCCTTGTTTAGGCCACGAGGTATTTCAACAAATTTTAGGCGAGAAAAAGCATCAAAATTGATCACGCAGAGTGTTTTGTCTGGTATATTTCCTTCTCTTGTATGCTAAAAGACAGGTGTGGGCCGAAATAATTAGTTGAGGGACGTTGATTCATCAGTCGTAAGGTAATCCAGCATAGTTATTTCTCTAGTTTTTTTTTTTTTCCAATACCATGGAATATCTCAGGATTGCTCTATCGACGATGTGCGTGAAGAGCTACCGCAACAGCAGCCGCGCTTTCTACTCATCAGCTACGCTCTGAGTCACTCAGATGGCCGGACATCCTATCCAATGTGCTTGGTATTCTATAGTCCTGACGGTTCGTGCTTCTTAATGTTCCCTTTGTTTTCTTAATGGGGTTAGCGAGATAGGCCCTAAAGATTTGCCCAACCCTGAATTATTTACTACCGTCATCCGGAGTTCGGTGGGAGGTGATTGCTGCCAGGATACCTTCCATTCTTTGTTCAATGTTTTGATAAAGTTTCGTGGCTGGTCGGTATCCAACGTACAGGCGACCCGTCAATTTGCGTGTCTGATTCAAGAGCCCTTTTGTGTGGGCCTGGACTTTCGAACTTGTGTCGCCTATGCATTTACAAAGCACTGTGTCTGTCTTACTGCCTGCCTACTTGCCTATCTTGCAGTCGCTCTGTCTACCTCGAAATTCGGTTTTCTCGGAAGAATCATCTGTCTACAAAATTTTCCAGTGTTCAGGGTCAAACTGGGTTTGCTATGCTATCGCTTGTTTGCGAATTGACGGCATCTTGTTTTTCCCCCCGCATAGCTTTCCCGTGGTTTCAAATGATTACAATAATTAGTAATTTAATGTCAAGAAGAAAACCAGAAAAGCTCTCAGATGCATATAGGAATGCTAATGTATGCCATTTTTAGGTTGTTCACCAGAATTGCAAATGATGTATGCTGGTAGTCGGAACAATTTGGTGAAGGAGTGTGAGCTAACAAAGGTAGGAACGTTTTATTCCCAGTCTTACTCTGCCGCTGCACTTTTATTGTATGCATATTGTTGTTTTTCCAAATTTTCGGAGTTGTCACGTTTTCATTATTCGGCGTCTACTGTTACTGTGTGCCTGGTTTACTTCTGCCACAAGGTTATCACTCTTGTTACGGCCGATGTCAGACTTTGCGATTCGCTAGCGTCTGCGGTCGCGTCGCGGCCAGTGAATCACTCAATTGGCTGGTACCGCAACGCGACCGCGGACGCTAGCGAATCGCGCGAATCGCTAGTAGCGAATCGCGCGATTCGCAAAGTCTGACATCGGCCTAGGGTGTCTACTAGCATAAATTATTTAGACCGAGCCTCAGGGCAGTAAGTTAAAACTCCACGCAAAAAGTCAAAGTCGATGTTCCAAAAGTTTGTAGAACATTGAATTTACTTTGGAATATTTGCGCTTTTTTTCAGAACTTCGAAATTCGCGATGCAGAGGAACTAACCAAAGAGTATCTCGATTCGAAGCTCAGTTAAACTGATTGAATTTGATTTTTCACAGGCCTCTCACCCATTTCTGTGTGATTCGTACTTGCTTGTCATTTCAAACTCTAATTTCTCAGTCTCAATCTTAACTTGACCATTTTTGGTAGTTTTAGTAAGTGTCCTACTCGCTGCTGGTATTTCAAGGAAGGGAGAGGAAAAAAGTCTCTTTGCTCATAAAATGCATCAGCAGTCTGTACCCAAGGGAGACTAGGAAGATGGAATTATTGTTTATTGTCCTCGCGGTTCTGGAGCATAAAACCACCTGATATGTTGATAAGCCTATGGATTTGATGAGAGCTCGGGATTTGAGTGTATGCGGCTGGACGTCCACGGAAAATGGTTTTTTTCGCCTCTCTTTCCCTACGTAGTGACGAGCTACTTATAGCGCTTATCTCAGTGTCTTCTTACAAGCAATGGTCAATTAGTTGAGTCCGGCCATCTGAAGTGATGTATGCCCATATATGTGCCTCAATGCGTTTAGTTCAAATCTGCGTCCGCTTTCTAAGAAACGATTTCTAAAATAACTTATGAAGCTTGAAAGCGCAGCGGTAGCGACCACTGATTCGCAAGGCAAGAGGCTGGAAATCGATTCCAATGCGAGTCCTACTTTTGTTCTTTTCAAATGTAATGTCAAAAGGACTCTGACTAAATTTTTGAAAATAGCAAAAGTACGGATTTACATTGGAGCCGATCCCCTGCTTGTACGCGGGGGTCACTTCCGCTGCGCTGTCCTGCTTCAGGCCGATGTCAGACTTTGCGAATCGCGCGATTCGCAACGTCTGACATCAGCCTCAGACTCCTTTCAGGAAATTGTTTCACAAATAACGAGAGCAGATTTCAACTTAACATAACGAGGGTGTATAGGCACAGATATAATTTGAATGATGGACTTAACCTTTGACCCTTCCATGGTAAGAGCACAAATGCTTCCACTGCACATGGATCACGTAACCTATAACTTTGAAGTGGCGCTTCTGATTGTACTAGTACATGAACTATGCGTTGACCGTGTCTTGCTAATTAGGATGGAAGATTTAACTCCATAGTGGGTCTGCTGATTTGGTGCAAAATGTTAGCCCTAACGCACATTTCTCTTTTTCTTTGCTCTGAATATGTTTGTTAAGCTTATCAGTTAATTTATTCACTTCTCTGATGAATTTCCTGCATTTTCAACGCCTTAACTGTGTGATTTTTTTTTTCATAACGTTCCAGTTTAAATGGCCATTCCTGTTCCTCATCGATATCTAAGCAAGACCTCTGTTTCTGTGGCCTTGGGCTTTCACTAATCTCGAAAAGTCACTGGATTACTACATTATGGATTGTCTTATTTCAAATTTTATCAATAAATTTAATAAAGGTAATTGGATTTCTACTATATTGCCGAAGAAAGCTTCGGAGTCGGCCGTACATGGATACCGTGGAGCTTCGGAGTGTCGCTTAAGGCCGATGTCAGACTTTGCGAATCGCGCGATTCGCTAGCGTCTGCGGTCGCGTCGCGGCCAGTGAATCACTCAATTGGCTGGTACCGCAACGCGACCGCGGACGCTAGCGAATCGCGCGATTCGCAAAGTCTGACATCGGCCAATAGAGCTGGAGGAAGAAGCCCTCACCGTTGATGAACCCTCTTTTTGAGGTGCGCCCCGCACTCGCACTTTTATCCAGAATCGTGGTGACATTTGTGTGACCTGGCAAATACTGTGACCTGCGGAACCACCCCGTATACAAGTGAGTGTTTTACCCTTTCAAACGAACCTTGATTACTTCACGAGCGATGTGGAAGGTTTGTTTGGCCTGCAAGGCTTCGATTCAAAATATGTGAAGCCTGATCAGGCTGTTTTGCTATCCGAATTCTAAGTTTCGGTGCTAACTTAGTTGGGTGGGGGGGGGGGACCACGCGGCGGCGCGGCGCTCTGTTCGTCTGCTCCTCCAAGGCTTAGTCCGCCGATGGCGCGTATTTCGAAACTGCCACGTGGCGACGAAATAGTAACTGCCCCTTGGACTAAGCCTTAGAGGAGCAGACGAACAGAGCGCCGCGCCGCCGCGTGGTCTCCCCCCCCCCCCTATGTTAGCACCTAATTTTCATATATTTTTGAGAGACTTTTGAAATTTTTGGGATTCATGCGCTATTCCCATTTTGAAGAAGCTGTGCTTCGCCATACAAAGAGTGGGGAGGGGGTGGGTGCAGTGTGTGGACTAAAGCCTTTCTTTTTTATTTGTGTTAGTTTCTTGTCCCGCGGCGAGTTAAGCTGGAAATTGGGTGCTAACTTAGTTGGGGGGGGGGGCCACGCGGCGGCGCGGCAGTCTGCTCACCTGGGCTCTCTCGAGCGAGACAGTGTAAACTCGAACATTCCAGCTTTTCACGCATGTCAAGTGACTGCCCCCACCCCCACCCCCTAGACTGGCTACACTCCCCCTGGCCGGATTTCCGAACATGCCAGGCGAGCAGACTGCCGCGCCGCCGCGTGCCCCCCCCCCCAACTAAGTTAGCACCAACATTATATTGTTCGCTAAATCGTTTCGACAAATCATCGTCTTCTGAGGCCAGGGCTCCCACCGTTCTGCAGCGTGGATCGCGGCTTACCACATATAGACGCTACTCGTGAACAAAAACTTTTATCGACATTTTTTAATGGCGTGAGGCTTTCGGTGTTCGGCTCTATGCTGCTAGTCGTCATGAAAGTGCAGCGCAAATCGTCGCGCCCGTTGCGTTTGTGCACCGCGCCTGATCGTGCGCGGCGCGCAAACGCGGCGTCACCGACTAGGCCCTGCTTTGATCTTTGAATTTAGAAAATCGAGACAAATACATTTAATTTCGAATTGCGGAAACGGAAGTGGTCTTTACTGCACTATCATGGGAGTTCAAAGATCCGAGCCGGCGCACGACAAACATAGTCTGTATTTGGAGAAAGAAGTTCGAAAAATAAACAGGAAAGATCGGCCTTCTCTTCCACATTTTCAGATGCAGACATTCGTATGTGCAAGTCCGCTCTGGTTGGACCAGGGTCAACCGTCACGTTCGAACATTTTCGGGATTTTTGCGACCCCCTAGCTCTCGAGGGGGTCCAGTTGCGACCCCCTGTTTTTGTTAATAAGAGTGCTAGACATGAATCCGTTGCGCCAGAAAGCGTCTGCGCGTCGTCGCGTCGGCCTTGGAGCGCGGCAGGTATCACCCGGGCGCTGGAAGAACGGGACGCGGCGAAGAAAAAATTTTAGAGGGGAATAACTTTCTTGGGACGTATTTTTTTGACTTGTTGAGGTAGATTTTGATTGTGCCTGAGGTGCGCTTCCAGAAAACTACAAGGATTGCCTAACTCTCCCGGAAAGTACTTCTGTTAGAAGTGGAAAACCCAAAATTCTAAGAAGGCGCACCTTCAACTTTGAAGGCCCATAAAATCTTTCGTATGCGACATTTTGGAAAGCTGTAAAAAGTTTCAGAAACTTCAAATATTTCTCTAACAAAATAGTATAAAAAGTTTAGTGATTGTCCCTTTTTTCAAAAAATTGTCCCGTTCGAACATTTTTCGTGCAAAAGCGAGTTTTTGGGCTTTCAGCGACCATAACTCACTTCATTTTCATTTCTGTGATGCACTTTTTTCATGGGGTGAAAGTACAGGATTTGCTCTTTCTAACAAGCAACCGTTTTTCAAAGTTCATTTTTCGAGAAAATCACACGTTCGAACATTTTGGGGGGTTTTGCCGAACACTTTTTTTGAAATCGCGAGTTTTTGGGCTTTAAGCGGGCATAACTCACTTCATTTTCATTTCTGTGATGCACTTTTTCCATGGGGTGAAAGTACAGGATTTGCTCTTTCTAACAAGCCCAAACCGTTTTTCAAAATCATTTTCCGAGAAAATCACACGTTCGAACATTTTGTTCCCATAGGTTTTTGAGCAGCACATGCGAGTTTTTGAGCTTTCAGCAATAATAACTTCCTTCAAAAAGCTTGTTGGGGAGGGCGAAGACATTTTTGAAGACTACGAGATTTACGCTTACTCATGTATATTACAGTTCTCTAGAAGAAGCGTCCCCAAAAAATTAGGTCTTGAAGAACTTTATTTTCAGCCCCGAGAAGTCAAACCTTTCATAAGGATGCATTCAACACTTCTTTACTGCGTAGGAAAACACCGTAATTTGCCTAAAACTGTCTCTGTGCATAATAAATCAAATCTAATGCGGTCTGCACAAGCAAGTCTTGCCCTC